CACTAAATTATGTTACTAGCAACCAATTGTTTTTTCAAATTCCCCCAAATAAATAAGGTCATGCCTTTAAAAATAAATGTATTAATCTTATGATTTATATTATGACAAATGTCATTACACACAAAAAAGAAATATTATGAACAGAACAGTATAAAGAGCTATGTAATTATTTATTTATGAAACAAACGTCCTCACAAAGATATAAGAGAACCTCTTATAGCCTCCACTTTATCTTCAGGATTGATACATTCATAATGTTTGAAATAATAGGTACTAACACATTACTCATTACTTGTTGAAGAAAAATCTGACCTGGAATAATCTCAATTTCTAAAATTCCAAATTAATAATTTCCTAGGCCAAATACTTTTTTGCTGATCTTGATCTTAGTCCAACCTCTGCAGGTAACACATATTGCATGTACCAAAAAGTTCCTACCTGGCCCTCTCCAACTGTTTCAGTGTCAATAACTGTGATGATGCCTGGGACTAAAGGACTCCGTCGTGAATTACTGTGGATGGAAACATCATCTTCTGTAACACCCGAAGGCAGTGTGCCTGTCAGCTGAGTCACTACTTTCCCAACCATTGTCAGGCCACTTTTCAATGTCTGTAAAAAGAAAAGTAAAATGTTATAATTTCTCATCAGTATTCGGATTCTAAATAGAAATATGCAGTTTATTAAGTCTCCTATTCATTGTGTTAAATTCTTTATTCTCTTATAATCTTTTATATAGCGGCAAACTGTCACGGAAATTCAGACTGACTTTCAACATGATCTCGACTTTTAGTTAGAACATCCATATTAGTTTGAGGGGAATGGCATTAGTAAAATCCCTACAGACAGCATGGTGGGGATAAAGCCATAGTCAAATAATTAAACATTAAAGGTCCAAATGTGATTTAAGCAACAGTTAGATTAAAATTAAAAGGGAAAAGTATTTTCCAAGGAAATTTTCTATTAAAACATCATATAACTAACACCAGTAATACATGCATTACTTTACTCTAGCTATGTTCTGTGATTGCTTTCCTATTAGTCAAGGCTCATAACATAAACTGTCTATAGATTTCCTCAAACACTTTCATTTTATAGAACAGAAAATTAAGGCAAGGAAAGTTAAGCAAAACGGCAGCTCAAACAGGTACTCAATGACAGAGTCAAAATTCAAAACTAAGTCTCCAGAGTCTGATTTTTAACCACTATCCTGCACTACCTTGTAATCGAATATTCATGTTACTACTTGTGATCTCACAGTTGATGAATACAAAGCATAGACATCTGATGAGGGGTAAAAGGAAGAAAAATTCAGAACCAAAATAATGTACACTAATAAATACTTAAATAAAATGACCAGAAAAGCCATCTGCTGAATTCGAGCAAAAAGATGTAACCTACAGTAGACTAAAACCAAGAAAAAGCCACAAATCAATTGTAACTGTTTTGTTTAGTGCTAAAAACTCAAACTGCAGTGATTATAAAACACATTAGCATTCCTCAATTATCAGCCAAACGTTTCTTTCGATAATTCAAAAGAAATGACTTACACAAAGTCTATTAGAGTGTTGTCAAGTAAGCCTCTGATGGACCAACAGAATCAAGCACCACTGTGTATTGATGTCAAGAGCAGGCCAGGAAGCCTGATTAACCTGTGAGATGCCTCAGCTGATGTACTTACTCCATTAATGCTAATGGAAATGCTCCCACTTAAATGTAGCTATCCCTTTATCAAAGGAATGCCTTTTAGTTTTAAAGTCTTTGGTTGTATATTGTCCCCATTTGCCCCTGAGCCTATTATTTCATGCTCTTATAGCAAAGAACAGGAATAAAACTAAAAGAACTGGAGCACATGAAAAGTGGAAAGTAATGTACCAAAGCTAACCACAAGACAATGGTCAAAGTTAACATAAGATAACCAGGGAAATGATCTATAAAGCGGGGAAAAAACAGTAGTATATTTCATAGTCAGAGGCTCATATTACATGAAGAGTTCTTGATAGTTCTTAGAATAAAAACCTATGACTGTTGATGGAGTCATCTTATAAGTGGACAAAAATCTAAACTTAAAATTTAATCGTTATCAAATCTGCAATTTGCATAGTAAGTTATAAGATAGTACTATTTATCATAGCTCATTAGCTATGCAGGGGGACTGGGGTGGGAGAGGGGTGCTGGAAGTTTTCTGCATTAGTAAAGACCTTTGCTCTTAGGGTAAATTTGTCTCCACGTCAGAATCAAGCACATCTATAAGCACTAGTGTCCAGAAGTAATGAATA